CTAGGAGTAACATTGTGAATCAAATTCTGTAATATATCTTCAATTGACAAACTTGGTGCTTGTGCTGCTTCCCTAAGGCCATGATTTTACATCTTTGATCGACATGGCGAGGAAGGTCAACTGTAATGCATCTTGCAGATCTTAAGATGGCCTTCATGATGGGTATCCAGTCTTCACCAATTCAAGGGACCTATAATGCACAAAGAATACTAAAATGCATAAATTCACACTTACCTTTCGCCCATGGGGGCTGATACCTTTATAAAGTGCCCTAACGCCTCCTAAAAGTCTTTTCCTTATCAAACACAATCCAATTTGGAACTATACGTCATCTACTGATAGTAATTAGTGAAAAGTGAACCCAAAAAAAAAATTTAGTGAAAAGTGGTCTCATGGGCTTGGCTAGTTCCACAGTGAACTAGAGACATTACCCTTGAAGGCTCACCAATGAGCATCCTCTTCAAAGGCCTTCCAACGATCAAGTTAGGATACTTTAGTAAGACGCTCATCATTTATGATACATCTCTTCTAATTGGGTTAGAGTAAATCTTTCCAAAGAGTCTAACTACACCCAACCTAAGAGTCATTCATCCACAAGAACTTAACTTCCTTGTTGAACATCACAGCTTAGGTATGGTCCACACCAATACCTTGGCCAATCACACCTTGCCACCTACCACCATGGTTCAAGATCGTATGACATGACTTCACTCAAAATTACATCCACATAGAAGCAATATAGGGGGGAAAAATTCTATATGCACGCAATCCAATTACAAAATGAGACACATTTTTCTTACTGTAGTAAGTTAGTTATATCTTATTCCATAACTAAATTATGTACACATGGAAGAGTTGTATAGACAAACCTAAAAAATTGGAGGGCATTAATTCTCCATAGTCTATTTACATGAGTTTAACAGTTATACTAATGACCAAGAGTAAGGAAAAGTCTACAGAGTAGACATGGGTTGAACTTTTTTTTTTTTGTCAGCAAAAGAAACTTTATTGATGAAAATCAAATGTACAGAATACAGAGATGAACATCAATAAAGGAAAACGAGTGCATAAGCATCATAGCAAACTAGACAATTCCAACTAGGTCGGGACTGAAAAGCAAGTCAATCCTCTACTAGCACTACACCAAGGCTGGAGAGAAACAAACGGAACAAACAAGTGAACAAAGGAAAATAAAACCACCCCAACACCCAAACAACAGAACACCCAAACCACCCCCTTCCAAATTTGGACCTCATATCAAACAATTACTTAATTTTGAACCCCCTTCCAAATCCAAATTAGGACCCCCTACCAAATTCAAACCCCCTTCCAAAATGTTTTGAATGTTGGAAATACCATTAATACTTTCAATAACTTCTTTTTCCTTTCTTTATTCCTTTGACTAGCATTGTTGGGGTTTGTAACCATATGAACACCTCCATCTTTATACCACCTAGATGATTCCTCTTTCTTGACCGAGTTGCTACTCTCTACTGGAATCAAAAACTTAACAACAACATCAACCCCTGTCTCTACTCCTTTAGGCCCAAGAGAAATAAGTGAACTTGGCCCATGGGATACTAGCACAGACTTGTTTTTGTGAATAGGAACTCCTTGATCTCACTGCTAGAAATAGGGGTTTTAGAGGCGTTTAAAAAACGCCGCTATAGGTCTCCAAAAAGACGTCAAATCCTTTTGTGACGTTTAGCACCAAACACCGAAGACGCGGCCGTTGCTATAACCTTATGGCGCTTTAAAAACATCGTTATATTAAAAGTTATATCTAACGGTAAGATGACGTCAACATTTGAAAAATGCTATCATAGACATTAATACATTTTAAAAATCTAGCCGTTGGGGTTGGGATATAGTGACATTCAAAAAACGCCGCCATAACTCTTTTTTTTTTTAATTATGTTAATTTTATATGGTTGAACTAAAAAAATACCTACCATAAAGAATTATTAAGAACTAATAATTGATATTTATTAAAATAATAAATAAACTAAGCTTGGAAACAAAATTAAAAATAAGAAACAATACATTGCATACCCAAGAGTAGAAATAATTCATGTTCAAATTTTAAATACATCAATTGAAATCAAAATGGTCAAGAAGAAGTCAAATTACTTAAACTTCAAAAGTAGCTCTCATCAGTGTGAGATGAACAACATTTAAAAGAGGTGATTTGCCAAAAAAAATGGCACAAAACCCCATAAGTTGTTTTAACAATTACAACCTTCAAGGCTCACATCTTAGCTGCTGCTTTAAAGTGACTTTTTCAAGGAAGGGCTACAGGCCAAAACATTTGTGGCATCTAGGGGTGAACCATGTGAAGTAGTTGTCAGTTCTAACCAATAAGAAATATACAACGTTGCAATAGCTTCCAAGTCTTCCACTGAGCGCTAATATCAATTGAAGGAACAAGAATTGCAGCAACAAGAAAAAAATAAAAAAATAAACCAACCATTTCAAGCATTAAGAACAATAAGAGAGTGAAAGATGAACAAACTGAGTTTTAATGAAAGTGCTCACTCCAATGAATTTAAACCTGAAGAAGGAGCCTCTAAACCCTCTCTAAACATTGCAATATTTCGGCATTTGATTCTAGGAGCAAGTTCTGAAAAACAATTCTAAGTGTATACCCAAAATAAAAGAAGCCCAAAAAAAAGTAGATGAGGACTCAGCTATGTTCCTTTTGTATCCAGCTTGAAGAAGTCGTTCCTGTGTGTGAAATTCTAAGGATGAGATAACACATGCGTATCTAACTTGCAAGAATGCAAATGAGAACAGAAAAAACAAAATCACACACAAAAATATAAATATTGAAAAGATAAATATCTCAAAACCAATTGTCACAGAGAACCATAAATAGAAAGATCGGCCATTAAGTAACTAGTGGCCATAACATAATGAATTTTGGCCCTCCGAAGTTAGATTCTCTACTTTATATTGCTGTAAAATAAAATCACAAATATTGATGCAAAATATACCCATCATTATAACTTCCAAAACGAAATTCTAGGCTTACAATTATAAATCTCTGCCAATTAATTTTATTTCTACTCATGAAGAGACTAAAAAAAATTAGGGGTATTTTTTTTAAGGTCCCTGATATTATGATTTTATATTATAAAGGACATCAAATATTTTCATGATGTCTAAGGTCCCTCAACAACAATCTAGAGAAAATTCAAGTCAGAGAAAATTGGTCCAGAGAAATTTTGAATTTCTCTGGCCTCCTTAGCCTTTCATGGACACTGCCAGAGAAATTTCCTTAAATGACCAAGAGTAAGGAAAAGTCTACAGAGTAGACATGGGTTGAACTTTTTTTTTTTTTCAGCAAAAGAAACTTTATTGATGAAAATCAAATGTACAGAATACAGAGATGAATATCAATAAAGGAATGTGAGTACATAAGCATCATAGCAAACTAGACGAATCCAACTAGAACGGGGCCAAAAAGCAAGTCAATCCTCTACTAGCACTATGCCAAAGCTGGAGAGAAACCAACTGAACAAACAAGCAAACAAAGGAAAATAAAACCATCCCAACACCTAAACCACCAAACAACAGGCCACCCAAACCACTCCCTTCCAAATTCGAACCCTCATATCAAACAATCATTTAATTTTGAACCCCCTTCCAAATTCAAACCCTTTCTAAAATCTTTTGAATTTTGAAAATACCATTGATGCTTTCAATACTTCTTTTTAAACCCTAAGCAGAAACTGTACTAAATATTAGCACAAATTCAAAAATAATTAAACCACAAACAGGTTATCAAACCTCATGCACTCATACACATATATACAACAATCTATAAGAATGATAAAAATTAATTATAAAAAAAAACCCATAATTATTACATCTATTTTTAGTTTTTTTTCCTCTGTTTACATGTAATACAAGTACATAAATGTTTATATATTAGGACGTACACACTAGAATCTTCTCTTCCGAGAAGCTTGACGGGTGTGCAGGCTCTGCGGTGGGTGAGATGAGAAGGTGAGAACTCAGTGAGCTCCACTACTCTGCCAGGCCACCATGACCCATTTTTCCTCTGAACCCACACCAAAGTGCCTACTCTGCAATCAATTTCCGAGATACCCATCTCTCTCTCCCTCTTTCTCTCTCTTAGGGTTTCATTGCTTTTTAGGGTTTTAGGTTTTGGGGTTTATTGAGCTCTGACGAGGGAGAAATATTTTTGCAGAGTGTGAGTGTATATCCAATGGCGGTTGATTTTTTGAATGTACGACCGTTCTGTTTTTTTTGTTTTTTTGTTTTTAAAATGTGCCGTGATTTTTGTCGTCTTCCCCGGCCAATTCGGCCCTGTCTAGTGTTTTGGGCTAGCTCATTTTTACAAGCTAGGCCCAACCCCAATCTTCACTTATCATGACTTGACGACCCAACCAAAAAATTTAAAAATAATAATAATAATAACTAGTATTTACATTTTGAGCATACTCAGCTCTCAATCACAAAGGCTTAGAAGAAACTGCAACTTTCCAATTTTCATTATACCTCCTCTACCTATGATGCTATCTTATTGCAGCAGTTTCACTCGAATGCCTGATACGGAGACTGAGACCAATCCCATAGACCGAATTGTGGCTCATCTGTGCTTTCACAGACCTGCAGAATTGTCAGGAAAACATCCTGAGACACCAGAATCACCAGTAGTATCTACTGAGCTCCGCAGTGAAAGAAATACTAGTGGTTTATTGAGCTCACCAGGAGGATTCTTTCTTGATAATTACAAAAGTAAACATAACCTATCATATACTGCTGGATCAAAAAATCCTCACTTATTTGCTGAAGGGGATCATTCTAAAAACAGTTCCTACATCGACACTTCTGAGAATTCCGAATTTATCTCCAGAAGAATTTCTCTGGACCTGATATTGATGTTTGCAGATTCGTCCACCAAATTTCTCTGGACTTCGAAATTTCTCTCCAGAGAAATTCAAAATTTCTCTCCAGAGAAATTCAAAATTTCTCTGGATAATCTAAGCACAATGGGATGAAGATGATGAAATTTATCGATGCAGCTCAAGAGCAACCTCTAGTTTTCCAGCCTTGCAAAAGCCATCAATCAAAATTTTGTAAAACCGAGATCATTTGCTGTAAACAGATGGACCGAAGACGAAATATCACCGTCGCATCACCTACATCAGAACTGGCCTATGCAAATTTGGTGCGGCATGCCAATTTAACCATCCTCCTAATAGGAAACTGGTAAAAGCCACTGATAGATCGAAAAACTTTAGAATTTAGAATTTGTCAATACATAGTTAAAATAGTTTCTGTAAATTGTTGACCAGGTTTTTAGATATATATATATATATATATATTGAGATCTCTGTTTTATCGTTGTACAATCTCACAACTTTTGGTTGAATCCATCAGGCTCGCTCAGGTCATGGCTTCGCACATCTGCCACGGAAGTGATAGCAGGCATGAGATCGACGAGAGAGAGAAAGAAAGATAGAAGAGCAATCCTTATCTGTAGACCTCCATGATCGATCTGTATTTCAGAAATAGAGTGATGATGATTGCGTTTTCGATCACGAACAGTGAACTCTGTGTGTGTGCGTGTTTGATCGCAGTGATGAGTGAGAGTAGAGAAAAGGAAGGGGGCTGAATTTCTCTGTGATAGATTGGAGGGACCTTAGACATCAAAAAGTAATATCGTGGATCTCTTCCATTACGAAAAGTGAGAGAGGGACCCTAGACCAATTTTTCCAAAAAATTACCTTCCTTAACCCACCAAAGACTTCCAAAGTGTGACACATTTTATTCTTACATCAAAATTTCAACATATTCAAAATCATTCTATTCCTCACATTTCCAATGCTCCACAACACGTAATCACCCACCATTTTCTACATTCTATTGTTTTTACCTTGTGTAAAGATCTGCTCATTTAATGCAGTAGGGTCACTAGAAGATCCCTCCATGTGCTCTGTTAGCTCATTCATTTGAGTCTACAATTTTGAATTCAATAATTAGCCTCCAATATAAATCCTATTAAAAGTCCAATAAAGTAGTATCACATACTATAACCTCATTAATTGAATCACTATTTGACTTCCCATCTTTCATATATACGGCCATCCACCCCTGTGGCCAACTAGCAGGAACCCCATTGGTCTTTTTTATCTCCTGTAAATAAATGACAAATAAAAAAACATTAGAGTGAAATCAAACAAAAATTCTAAGAATGACAAGGTACATAAAATAGTCCATCTCCTAAATTCTCCTAAATTCATGTATGGTCCATCTCTGAGATTCTAAGCTAGTTTAATAGGCCATTAATTTGGTGCAAATAACCAAATAAATAATTTGAATTCAAACCCATAACAGCAAGTCTCAATCTTGCTTTATTTTAGTTTGAGGCTTTGAGCACACACAAAGCTAAAGTCAGTCAATTAATACTATAACAAAAACTCAAAATCAAATAAACCCCATCATGTCGAATACTTTATTTTTATGAACATTGAAGAAAACTAACAAGATACACTGCAAAACTTGCTTTTTCAAACTTCATGAAATTTTTATGGATTTTCAATCTCAAGATGGCAAAATGTATGAGCAATTTAGAAAATAAAATAAAATACTTTTAATTGATGTGAGAGAATAATTATACCTCTACTCGAACTACTGAGAAAGGCTTTCGACCTGTTCTATGATGTAATGTCTTCTTCTTCTGGATTTTTCTATATTTCTTGCTTGATTTCTGTCAAATATGAAATTTATTTAAGATATTACAAAAAATTATCATATATAAACATTTTTTCACATAAATAAAATTGTACCAATGCACTCTGAGTACCCCAATAGGAGATAGCAAACAAAACTCAAGTTTTTGCAACTGCAGCCATAGTAACAAAAGCTAGTAAAGGTCAAATTGACGATGATTAAATAAAAACAACAATTCTATGCACTCATAAATCGGGTAATTCGCTCACAAAAAATAGCCTTTTAAAGTTTATACGTACCAGCTGAAACTGAACCATGTGATGTACTATCACTACGTAATGTGGTAGGAAGACTGCCTGGTGGATGCCATGATGCCAATGGATCAGGTATGACTCTCATCTTGAGTGTGGTTTGAGTCTCATCTGAACTAGAACTACTAGAGCTTGATTGCTCACTCTCACTAGAAGAATTGTCGAAGCTAGAACTCATAGATAATATATAAAGAAACTACAAACATAAAAGTAAGGACTATGAATAAAGTTTACCTTCTTAAATGACTACAATCCATGCAATGTAAGATGATAAATCTATACATTTAAATATAATGCAAAATATAAAATGACAATTCAAAACAGAATCAGAGTACGTAGTCTAATAATGGCCACTTAAAGAAATGATTACAAATCAAATATTTTATTAACATGAATATCCGTACAAAAAACACAAATATAAAAGTGAATATGAGTTTCTGTCAATATTTCTAATAGTTGCTTCTCTAAAGTGACTGTAGATGAAGTTGAAGTTTAATTTGGCATATAGCTCTAGGTTAAAACATTCTTATGCTTAATTTTGGTTGGAACCCAAATCTAGCTGGTTTTCAAACTTGTTGTTACCTGTGTGATATTAGTGTTAGGTAGCTCAGGTTATGATTCTCAATCCATATTGGATCTTAGATTTGGGGAGGGATTTGTGCAAATTAAAGTGAACAAATTTAAGCTTCTATGATCATTAGCATTCTGCTTAATTCTATAACCATTTTTTTTTTCAAATACTTGTTAAGTGAAATTGCTTTGTCCTTTGAGGTCTGTCAAACAAACGAGGGAAATGATATGGTGGTCTCTCCCAACTCCCTAATTTGTATTCAACCGAACACAACCTAATTTTACGGAGCAAAGTCAAACAATTCCCAATAAATAATAATATAAATTAAATTGTAATGCAAAAATGGACATTGAGAAGAACCCTATGATCAGTCCACGTCGACTCAGATCAGTGAATTCCACAATTCCAAACATAATCAACCAATCACACACAAATTCACAAAAATCAAAATCCATAACCACATCGATGATAGATCGAACACAATATAAACATAGATGAAATCACTGAGACCAATTACTGAAAGTACAATCTAGATCTCATAGTACAGAGCAACACATCAGTGAAAAACAATTACTGAAACAAAGATGAAATCACTGAGACTAATTTTTCAAAACACTGATTCAGCATTTTTCAAAACACTGATCCAAAGCCCAGAAGAAACATAGATAAATCACAAACAGAACAACTAACCTCTGATTGAAGAAGACACAGAGTTCCAAATCCATAGAGATAAATCACAGAATTGTGCTCAAAATCAAACTTTGAAATCGCAATCCTGAGATGAATCACCAAACTGAAGAAGAATCGAAAAAGAATCACTGAACTAAAGATGAATCGAGAGAGAGAACTTTATATTGATTCGATCCTCTGAGAGAAAGAGAGAGCAAGAGAGTGAGTGAGAGATTTGAGTGAGTGAGAAAGAAACGACATTGCTCAAAATAGGGTTTTCAAAATAAAGGTTTGGAGAGACAAAATAGGGTGTAAAGAGAGATAAGATTTGGAGGCGTTTTCAAACGTCTTCTATTCACAAAACGATACCATTTTAATTAATAACAAATGCAAAGTTTAAAAAACGCCATTAATTATTAGAAAAAGTGACGTTTAATAAAATGTCGTTAATTAAATGCCATAATTTCCCCAATTTCCTATAGTGTATACAGCAGTGAATTTGGGCCTCCACAATACTGAATAAACACGCCCACATTTTAGTTGTGGGCCAAGCATACTCCTTAATTTAAGAGGTTTCATATGCACCCAATCTATCTGAGATCCTCCAACAAATCCAACACTCTTCTAGTACTGATTGCTAGTTGTTGATAACTCATTTGATTTGTGTGAACTTGAAGGAAGTACCCTTTTTTGTCTCCAAATTCTTTTTTTAGAATTATGTAGACTACTTTTACCTGATCTAGGCCCCCTGCATTGATTCTCCCAATGACAGAGATTTGATCTTCCCCTGCACTAGAATTGATTGCTCCATCTTCATGAAAATCATAGAATTCCCATATCCTAACAAGGTATGTGTTTCCTTTGTGCTCCTGACTTATCACCGTATTAATAATCTTCATGTTATTCGTTATCAATCTGAGCTTGCCATATTCAAAAGAATCTGAATTGATAACTTCATCAAACTGGATTACCTCACCCCATAAGCTACCAATGCTTTTGAATGTGTTAACAATTCATAAATTAAATGGAACTCCATAACAGCACAACCAAACACATCTCTCCTGTTCAAGATTCTTCTCTTTTCTCCACTCTATTATTGAATCACACCAATCATAAATCCACCCCTTCAGTTGATCATACCCCTCCTCCATAGCTTGTGTCGATTTGAAGGTTAGGATTGCATTTCTACCTCCCCTTTTCTGACTAATATCTCATTCAAACATTTCTTGCAAAATTCTTCTCTAAATGCCAGAAAAGAGAAGACATTTTTTAGCTTCACTATGAAACTCGCATAGCGCCATTCATTTTCTAACTCAAAAGCTTTTGTAGTTAAATAATCCTTCCTATTAGTAGCTTCTCTTTTTACTACTTCAGCATAGGATTTCTGACCTCCAACCTCTGTTTTATCTTGCTTAAACTGCCTTTGTAAATCCAATTTCATAGATTTACTTGATTTTGGCCTTTGTTTTCTGAGTTGAGGCTTAATGAACACTGCCTTTTTTTTACCTTAAGCTTCTTATCCTCATACCACAAACCATTTGCCTTTTGAATAACCAAATTTGTAGCTACCAAGCAATCGAATCTGATAAACCCAAATCTTGTACTTGTTGCTAACCCTCTCTTCACTAGGATGAACATGTCTTTAACTGCCCCAAATTTGTTGAACAGGATATATAGACTCTTTGGATCCGTTGATTCAGGGATGTTATCCACAAAAATAGTGAACAATCAATCATTTCTAACACCATTATTGTAGCCCTCTTTACTTCTCAGAACTGGATTCCAACCACCGTTATCTCTACCCTCTCTAAATCTTCTCTCTTTTCCGTTCTAGGGGTGAGAATAGAACGACACTACTCTATTCTCCATCCCATAGTCTAGAGCTGCACTACAGATCCCCTATTCTGAGACCACAAACTCTATACTTCACCTTGCAAGATTGGTAAACGGAAATCGAAGCTCACATAGCGTGGATCTGAAAGCCACGAGAGCGGCGGCAAGGCTCTGTTTCTTTACTGCAAACGAACACTGAGATTGAGACTAAGCAAATCACAAAAAAGGATAGAAAGATTGCAGATCCGGTGGCAAAGATCGAAGATCACACGGCGCGAATCTGAGTTGCGAAAATCCACTGCAGATCTACATCTCTTCAAACCTAGGTTGCACTCCTCCTCTATAACGAAATCTATCTAGATGACAGTGACGAGGTGGAGGCGGATGGCCGTGAGACAACGATGGATGGCATTGCAAGATGATTATGTACTTACCTTGATTTTATAGTTTTAGACATGGGTTGAACTTAACCCTTCTATCGTAAACGAGACATGCCTTGCCATGGTCTAATCAAAGACTTCCTGCTGAAACACGTCTAAGAAAATGTTAGAAAATAATAGTTTTTCGGTGGCTTTAATCCAAAATTAAATTGGGACTCAACTGTTGGTTGAGATGGGTTTAAATGAGTCTTGATTTTTTGTAGGAAGATCTTTACACCGCAAAAAGAATGATAAAAAATATTAAGAATTAAATGAGAAATTGTCTCATAAACTAAGCTTCATGAATGAAGTTTTGGGGAAGATGAGAAACCACCTATCGCACCTATCCTACTTTATGAGACAATTTCTCATTTATTCTTAATGATTTTTTGAAATTCTTTTTGTGTTGTAAAAATATCGTTACAGAGAATCTAGACTCACTCAAACCCACCTCAGCCGAGAGTTAGGTTCCACTTTAATTTCGCATTAAGGTCAATAAAAAATCATTATTTTTCAATAAAAAATACTCTAGAATTTAGAAAACCATAAAAACTATAGAAAAATTTTATAATACATATTTTTTTAGAATGTATTATATGACATTTTATTCTTTTAATACCACTTTATCTCATAACCAAATCACTTTATGTCATAACCAAAGTACCACAATCCATCATAATTAAATAATATTTGAGACATAGCCAAAGAGCACTTCATTCATATTCAAAATAACTACAATATGTCATAACTAACTCCATAATGGGCTATAATAATAAATAAATAAATAATTCACTACTAGAAAAGGAGACTTTAGACGCGGAACTTTTTGCGACGGTTTGCAAATCGTTGCAAAAAGTAAGCTTTAGTGACGGCAAAAAAAATCACCGCGAAATTAATTTTTTTGCGACAACATTTGATTGTCGCAAAAAAGTCACCGACTAAATACCATTATTAGAGATGGAAAATCCAAGACCGTGGAAAAAAGTAATATTATACGCGACAGTACGTTACCCATCATTTTTTTTTTGCGACGCTCTCTGTTAGTCCGTCGCAAAAGATTTTATCTTTGCTCCTTACCGACAGTTTTTAAACTCATCGCAAAAACTTAATCCCTAATTACCTTCATGCCCTCCTCCCCCCCACCCTCTTTCCTGCTCATCCCTAAACTTTCGGAATTCTCTTCGAATTAAAATAATAATAAAAAATTTAAAAAAAAAAAAACTACAACAAAACTAATTATTTATGGCTTCATGTTTACGGCATGCATCAAATGCATGTCGTAGTTAGTACATTCTACGATATATATATATATATATATATTGCAAGTCGTTAATGCATTTTCAATAATAGCATACATACAATGTAAGTCATTAATTCATATATTTATGGCATGCAAAAGTATGCTGTAAAAAATTTATATTTTTACGGCTTACAAAAATATGTTATAAAATATTTGCACTTAAGATGACATACATTTCATGTCATAAAATATTATAACTTTATACGGCATGTATTAGCATGTCGCAAAAACTTCTACTAAAAAAATTCAATCTGATTTTTTTTACGGCATGCAAAAGTATGCTGTAAAAAATGTATATTTTCACGGCTTACAAAAATATGTCGTAAAATGTTTATACTTAAGACTGCATACATTTCATGTCATAAAATATTATAACTTTGCACGACATCCATTAGCATATCATGAAAATTTCTACTACAAAAAATTTCAATCCGATTTTTTTTTTTAATTTTAAAAAAAAAAGTTAACAATTTCCAACCAAGCTTCTCAACTTAAATTTTCCTAATTGAGGACAACGTAAAAAATAATTATAGAATATTGTTGTATATAAATAATTTTTATTATATATATATATATTATTATTATACAAAAATAATGGATATACATTAATAAATAAATGTAAAATCAATTGTTTTATAATACTAGTGGTTGGGCACATGCGTTGCACGTGATACCTGATTTTTTTGTCAACTATTAGTACTGTAATTATGCGTGTCACTTAAATTAGTATGTGATATGTATACAAAGTATGGAGAGTTGTATGGGTAAATCCAAAATATAACTAAGTAAGAAACAAATACATACTTGGCTGAAGTATTTAAATGATAAATGTAAAATTTTATAAACATAAACATTAATTTATAGTTAGATTGTTGAGATCACAATCTTATCTTAAATAATAAATAACAAACAAGTCCTTTAAATATATAGTATTACAGAAATCTTTTTCTATTAACTTCCACTTCAATTTTTTATAATCCGTAACTGTAATACAATTGAATGTATGAAATTAATTGCGCAATTATACAATTTTATTTAATAGTTCATCTCATAATACAAATTCATTGAACCCACTATTGCATTTTATTTGCATACTATTAGTGTAAGAATACATTAATATCAATATGTAATATATTTTTCTACATTAAGAGTTGTTGAGCTTCGTTTTTTGCGCCACGAATATCTTGTATAATGAAAAATAAAACCATAGCAATCCTGATTCAAATCCAATCCGTTTATTGCCTTTGAATTCGGAAAACCTTACTCGTGACGGTTGTTCTTTTTCTTTTCATGGTTGGCTTTGGCTTCAAGGGTCGACACCATTCTTGGTGGTGTCGACACTACCTTTCTTTTCTTGTTTTATTCTTCCCCCTAGGGTCGACACCAGTCTTGGTGGTGTTGACACTGCCTTGTTGTTGTGCTCTTGGTGTAGCTACTAAAATTTGGGGTCGACACCAGTCTTGGTGGTGTCGACACTTGTCTTTTGTTGTTGGCCTTTGGGGTCGACACCAGTCCAGGTGGTGTCGACACTTGTCTACTGCTGAGTCTGGATTTTGCTACTGAAATTTGGTGTCAAAACCACGGGTTCTGGGGTCGACACCTTGTCTGCTACAAACATTAGTGTTTTTGGCATTTCTTCCTGAGGGTCAATACCATCAACTTGGGGAGTTATTTCTAGATTGTTGGGTTATTTTGGGCCTTACTTTTTGGGCATTTTGACTTGTTCTTTTCATTTGACTTTGCGGCTATTATTCTATCAGTACCTAGCCACTATAAATAGGCTCCAAAACACTTTCCTCTCATTATTTTCCTTTTATTTTTCCTCTCAAATCATGATTCCTCTCTTCTCTCTCTAAACTTAACTTTTTCCCACTTAAGTAAAATTTCTAAAAAGCGCGCATATACATGGGTGTCAATCCTGCGAACAAAATTTTCATGAAAATGTCAATAGTAGTACTTGTATAACCTACGTTTACATGGGTGCCGGTTTACAGTTTCGTACAGACAAAATTTTTGTGAAAGGTTGTATTTGTTTGGGATTCCCAGAGTTGTGATTCACTACCCTATTTTCTATTGAAAATGAAATATTTTTATGAATTGTGATATAAATGGTTTGAAGGAGATATAAAATGTTTTGGGCACAAGCATGACATATGCATTCACCTTATAACTTTATTAAGATTCATATGTTGTGTTTGATTATTTCTACTGGGTTTTGGTTCTCCCTATGTGGAAAAACAATTTTCAGGTGCTGATGATATGTCTCCACCAATGCAATAGCATGGGAGGACTTGGAAGCAAGAGATTCATTTTATTTATTTTGTTGTATTTATTTGTACAAGCCTAGGGCTTTAACTGTATTGGATTTAAATCCACTTTGTTGTAACCAAGTACTATCTTGGAAAGTTGTAAGCTTTTAGAGCATTACCTTAATTGCTTATCTTTCATTCTATTATATAACATATACTATAGATTCAGGGTTTGACTTGTGAATGTATATCTGCATATGTTACTCTTTTGTAAAAGAAATTGGAACTAATGGAAGATAATTACTTTATTATTGTTGTTATTTATTAATGTTGTGGATGAGTTTTTTTTTTTTTTTTTGTTGCGTGAATATGTTGTGGATGAGTTACTATATATGTTTCAAGATGTTACAATAACATTAGTCATTAATACACAATTGCTATACAATTGTCATGAAAAAAATTAATATAAAATGTATAATATTGTTGTGATTGCAAAGTTTTTGTTTATTATTGAAAGTGTTTATTATGGACACCTATTTGTATGACATGCATGTATATATGTATCGAACATAAGTTAATAGGAGAATAATACACAATTTCACAGTTTTTTCCTAACAAATATAACTATATTACTATAGCGATACATGTTAGAAAATTAAAGTATCCGATGGTAATAAAACATTACAAATTGACAATGTATTAATATAGTAATATAAATAAATTTACATTTATATTTATATTTATATTTATATATATATATATGTAGATATTGACATATATAAGATATCACAAATGTAATATGTGAAATCTTTTGCAAGAATATAATATAGGTAACAACGAGAAATTAATTATTCATAATTAAATAGTTGGTCATAATGTAGATGTTAAGTGTTATATTTTTGTGTGTATGCACCATTTTTTAATTAGGTTATTAAATCCACATAAAAATTGAAATGAATTTGTGAATAATTTATGTAAAATTGGAGATTAGTGAAGAAATATATATATATATATATATATAAGAGCAATTTATAGTGTTTGGTTTGATTTGTTTTTCAAATTTTTGTTTTGAATCTTTTTATTTTCATTTTCATTTTTTTGTCTTTGACACTATTTTTTTAATAACCCTTTTATTCTTTTATTTTCTTTTTAGATTTACTTAATTTAATACTTTTTATTTTTAAATTTTGTTTTCGATTCACTTAATCTAAATACATTTAGAAAATAATTTGTTGTGTATCTTGTTTTTAAAAAGATTATTAAAATTAAATAATAATAATAACAAAAAAAATATAATAATAAAAAATCAATATATGTTTGAATTTATAAATTTTTTTACTAATATTTTACTTTTTAATTCTATTTAGATTATTAGATATTAGATCTACATGTAAAAGTATAATTTAAATGTAAAATATGAAGAAATTTCAGTATCTTTAATCACCAAAACTGAGAAAATATGGAAAAATCAAAAGCAAAAAACGGATTTAAAAAGTAAAATGAACAAAGTGGTTCTTGTTTAAAATTTTGACATCATACATTGGTTATTAAAGTACCATGCAAAATATTACAATTCATAAAATATAATTTAAACTAAAAGAAAGTGTATGATGAAAACTTGGAAATTTTTGAGATGCAGCACAAATCTCTATTTAAAAAATGCATGCGCTTTTGTCTATCTAAATTTGAACAAATGCATACAACTTTAAGATTCAATCAAAAAATTTCACAATGATTAGATCCATGATGAACAATTGTAAATATTATGTATATCAGTATAGAAGTAGACACAGAAAATAAGAAAGAGTAATTATTTTTTGTTTTTCAATCATCATCAATGTAAAAAATAAGAAGATGACTTTTTATTTATTTTATTTATTTTATAAGAAGGGAGACGGTTTGTTTATATTAACATAGAGCTCTTGGAAGCAGATATATCATTTTCGAGTGCTCAACTCCAAAAATAAAGAGATAGTTTGTTTATATAAGATTCTTTATCACTTTTAGAAAAGAGATTATTTCATTTTTATCCCTATACTTTGTCACGATTTTCAATGACCCCCCAGACTACTCTTATTTTCACGTGTACCCCTATACTATTTAAGTTACTATTAATTTTGCCCCTGCCGTCAGATTTGAAATGGAAAAAGTTTAAAAAAATTATATTTTGGCCTCAATTTTCAAAAGAAAGATGTAGACCCACCTAGCAAACCATTACCAGCAACTACCACTTCAAGCCCTTCTATCTCCTTCGTCATAACTCCGTTTCGCCTCATTGTTACACCGTTGGATTCAACTCACGGTCTTGTTTTCATATCATATCTCACACGTCTCGTTCTTCCTCTTTTTGCATGCTATTGAAGCTTCGAAAGTGGATAAAAAAAAAAAAAAAATTTCTTCTCGTTTTTTACTTTTCTTTGAGCCATCTTTCGGACTTCATATCTTTCTCGGTTCTTGACGGTTCTACTTCATTCTTTCGCCATTCTCTTCACCTCACTTCCTACTTCACCCAACACTACCTCGCTTTCTCACTTCTTCGTGTAATGGGCGGTTTTGGTATGCCAAAAGTTGTCCGAAAAATAATTTCAAAAATTTCAAAACATTCATCTTTTGTTTCTTTCTTGTCTATCTTCCTCATTCTTCTTCTTCTTCTTCTTCTTCTTCTTCTTCTTTTTCATTTATAATATGATGTGGAACATGGTTCTCGGTGGTAACGAAACTGGTGATGGTAGCAGTGGCAGTGATGGTTCTAAAAGGTTATATATGATACTTTCTACCTATCCATGTACAAACCTTTTGCAATGTATTAGTTTCTTTACAAAAATTTGGTCATTCTAATGGGATGCAATATTGAGAATAAGTGCTTAAACTCTGGGAAGACAGTAGATAGTTGATTATAAAATACCTAGGGGCAAATTTTATATGGCTGCTTCTTTCTCAGTTAGGGAGGTAGAGGACAAAAATTCCATTGGTGGAGTTTGATGAACATAAATATAGACTGATTCAAAAACTATTTTAGTGGGCCATGATTGAGATCTAACATACAGTTAACCTATTTTAGAAGAGGAAAAAAAAAAGAAAAAAAGAAAAGGCATCAAAGATGTGCCTATAGTTCATATTATAACGAACCCTCTGTAACCAAAAATAGTTGGGTGCATCCAAACAAGGAATAATAAAATGCAAATTTAAAGAATAAGAATATTTGCAAATTCAAAGAACTATCAAGTTGTCCAAAGCTTTCACTTAATATAAAGCAAGATATAATCTTATTCATCCTTCATTAATCACCTTGACAAAATTCTGCATCCATCATCTCCATCAAATTATTCATAGTCAGGGAACACAAAACAGATAAGCCTAGTAATTTAGATAACTGATTAAAGGTTGTGGAAAGTTATATCATGAAATAATATAATGAGGATGGCCATATTTCCCATACTGTCAAAACCACTAATCCACCATATGGTAAGTTGTATCATGAAATAATATAATGAGGATGGCCATATTTTCTATACTGTCAAAACCACTAATCCACCATATGGTAGAAATAGAAAGAAACAAAAGATGAATGTTTTGAAAATTTCGAAATTAGTTTTCGGACAACTTTCGGCATACCAAAACTGCCCATTACACGAAGAAGTGAGAAAGCGAGGTCGTGTAAGGCGAAGTAGGAAGTGAGGTGAAGAGAATGACGAAAGAATGAAGTAGAACCATCAAGAATCGAGAAATATATGAAGTTCGAAAGATGACTCGAAGAAAAGTCAAAAATGAAAAGAAAAGTCTTTTTTTTATCAACTTTTAGAGCTCCGATAGCACGCAAAAAGAGAAAGAACGAGACATGTGAGATGTGATATGAAAACTAGACTGTGAATTGAATCCAACGACGTAAAAATGAGGCGAAACAGAGTTATGACGAAGGAGATAAAAGGGCTTGAAGTGGTGGTTGCCGATGGTAGTTTGCTGGGTGGGTCTGCATCTTTCTTTTAAAATTTGGGGCCTAAATGTAATTTTTTTAACTTTTTCCGTTTCAAATATGAGGGTAGGGGAAAAATTAATAGTAACCAAAATAATATAAGGGTACGCGTGAAAATAAGAGTAATATGTGGGTCATTAAAAATCATGACAAAGTATAGAGGTAAAAATAAAATAATCTCTTTAAAAAATATAGTAAATTAAAAAGTGTAAAATTGGGATTGAAAAAAAGTAAAAAAAATTTGGCAAACTCTTCACACTTTTATAACAGTAATAGATAGTAGATAGATTAAAAAAAATACTTATTAATTAGAAAAATGCTTGGGAGCACTAATTAGTGCTCCCACTAATTAGGTGGCAGTGGGTCCCACCATTAATGATGTGATATTTTAGTCTTGGAGTTATATATATATTTTTTTAACTTTTTTAATGCATTAGTACTATTAATGGTAGTGTTTTTAGTGGAATGAATCACTGTTGTATTAATTAACCAACCTCACAGCAAATTTAGGATCCAGCAATAAACTACTAGGCTTTACTAACATAAGCCGACTGGTAATATCCGCTAAAATAAAACCTTGATTTTCAATTTTATTTATAAAAAAAAAAAATTGTATTCCTATCATTCGCGTTTCTCTCTCTCACCTTCTCTTCGGCAATCATTTGAAACACTGAAAAAGGGTTTCTTGGGCATCTCCGTGATTTATCACCACCACCACCACCACCACCACCACCACCGTCTCTCTCTTCTCTCTCTCTCTCTCCATCCCCACTCTATCTCTCTATCTCTATTGTGCAACCAAAATTAACCCCAAAACGCTCTCACTCTATAAAAACTCTGCTAACTCACTCACTCACTCACGAAACCCTAGTAGAACTTGCTTTCTTCAATCGAAAATGCAAGACATGTTCGGTTCCGTCCGCCGATCGCTGGTGTTTCGTTCGCCAGATGGCGGCAGGACGAAGGCACTACCGTCGGAACCCTACTCGTCAAACAGGTCGATTCTTGTATGCTTATTATGTTCTCTGTACTTTCTTTCAATTTTATTTTCAGTTTAGATATGATTTGCTTTTGCATTTGATTTTCGTTTTTGGTCTGATTGTATTTGATTTTAATTTTTGGTAAAATTTGAATTTGAAGGGTTCATGCCCTAGCTCTACAGAATTGCCTCTGCATTGATTAAGCTATTGATTGTCTTGTTTTGATTGAGATATTGATTAAATTTTGGCTTTGGTCACACTTCTTGATCTCAAAAGGTGAATTGGAAATTCCTACAAAATTGATCTCAAGCTTGCTTGGAGATTATAAAACCTTGCAGATTTCTGGCTTTAAGTTCGATTCGGTCGGGGTTAAGAGTACATTTAGCACCGAACCGATCCTTTCAATTTTTATGATTTAAAAACCGACACAAACCGTATTTATATTTTAAACAAAATAAATATTTATGTACATCTTTTATTTTACTTTGCTACGTTATTAACTTGTTTAATTTAGAATAAATACTTGGTACCTTAGGAATCGACTAGTTGCGACATCCAGCCACCTTCTTAGTAATGAGGAACCTTTCATCTCCACTATCTCGCTTCGCAGAGGCGGAGAAGTGGCAAAGGGAGGTGGTTACCAGAGCCAATTGACGCTGACCGCCAAAATCAGTTTCGCGGAAATGTGATTTCGAAGAAGCATGCCGGTGAAATTGGTCCAACAAAAAATGAACTCGATGTTTCTGGTTCGATTGGCGTGCTAACCTGACCCATGAACAAACCTAATTCTCACAGTATTGCATAAGAGTAGAGGGAGAGGGGACTATACCTTGTGGCAGAGCATCATCTGCTTGTATAACCCTGCATTGCTCATGTGCCATCAATGCACACATGAGGGGATGGTACCTTGTGGCAGATCATCATCTGCTTGTATATCCTTGTATTTGGCGATTTTAACAGTGAGAATGGGCAACTGTGCACAATAAAAAAAGTCAGGGTAATTGCAAATAATCAAACATCAAAAGAATGTCTGAAGCAACTGAACCAGGTTTTCTTTTTATCTATCTTTGTTGAATTATTTTGCATTGTACCAACTTCAGATATGTTTTTAGTTTTTTATTGACCCTTTTGCGAATAACTTTTGAAATTTGTAATGTGATTATTGATTGGATTTGAAAAATGTTTGTTGTTGTCAACCTAAGATCATGATTGGAAACTCTTCTTGTTCAACTATTTATTTATAGATATATACAAAGATCCTTATGTTGGCCTACCCACTCTATCCAATCTTGATAATAACTATGAAGTTTATGTTTGGGTTTGAAAATTTTTGTTGCCATGATGTTCAAATGCAATGTTTATATGCTTGATGGTAATGGATATTGAATGATTCTATGATTGACGAATGTGCATATTTTTTAACTTCGACTTCTGCTTAAACTCTTCACATCCAAATATATGTATATGATTTCCTTAAGAGTACTATTTTTTGTAAGTGGCATCTGTCTTACTTAGAATTGATATGAAACACACAGCTTATAGTTTTTCATTGGTTGATATTGATATAAAACTTGTTGGTAGTGAAAGGGCCCTATCTTAAGCTCTTAGGGACTACTTAATGTTACGAAGATCCAAGCTTATGGGACTGGAAGTTTATAAAATGAACTTAATCCATTAAGCATATTTATAAATTTTCCCCTTCTTTGGTACTGGATAGATACTAGTAATTGCTTTTGTTTTGATTGGAGTACAAACTTCTTTTATGAAGGTATGTGATGAATAGAACTATTGACTTTGAGACTCTTAGGGAAATCAAAGAGAAACTTTGCTACATAAGGTTAGCAAATAACATCATAATTTGGCTTGCTTTTATGGAATTTGTTCGATCGGAAAGCGGTTTTGATCGGGAGCCCTGTTCTATTCAAAAACTACCCAACTTGCATATGACAAGTTATGAAAACAATTGTGCCTCAATTATTTCAGTAGACCTGGTCACAAGTCCTGTTTCACTAATCTATTCTAACCAGGGCCCTATATTTGGTTGAACCACATGGTACCATACATTTCCTTATGCCATGAACCGGAATCACCAAAGTCTGTCTCAAGTGAATTTAGTGGATTGCTTACATACTTCAATTTTTGCAATTTAATAAGATTATGATTATCTCATAACATGATTCTTATGTCTTGATTAGTTATGGATTGCAAAAATAACGGTAAAAATTATAATTTCTTAAACAGGTTGTAGTTGGTCATGCAAGGAAGTCCATGAGGTTAGTTAATTATCTAAAATTTCCTTAATTTTTTCTTTTGAACATTTTTTAGATACATATTTTGACAATAATGAATTTGGGACTGTTGGTGAAGCTATAAGCGACGAAAGATTGCGACTAATGGCTTACATAGTCCTGTCCAAGTTAAGACACCTACAATTATTCGAGCAGAGGAGGTACAGTTCACTGCAGGCAATGGCTGATGCTGCACACCCTGCATTCATTTTAGAGACAAGGAAAACAGCTCCAGGCTTACGTCTAGTGGACAAGTGGGTGGTGTGGATCACCTATTTTGGCTTTCTCCTTCGTAGTTGCACCGTATCTATTATCCTTTTTTAATTAAATTCTTTTTGGTAATCTTTTATGTCTTTCTTAACAGGTACTAATAGGTGGAGGGCCGAATCACATAATGGGATTATTTGATATGGTGATGATAAAAGATAATCATAAATCAGTAGCTGGAGGTGTCAAAGATGCTCTTAGATCTGTGGGCCTGTATTTAGAGAAAAATAATCTTCATATGGGGGTTGAGGTAATCTTCTCACCTCAACTTTTAATAGTCTATTTCCAAGATGGCTGACTATAAAAAAATAAATAAATAAAAGTTTTGAAATCAATGAAAAATGTCTTGTGTTGTTCAATATAATAAATTATGAATTTTTAATGTTATTAATTTAAATTTTAATCTTTTGATTTATTTTTAATTTAAACTGTTCATCTATTTCCGTTAAGTAAAGTTGACGTAAAAATTATATTTTAATCATCAAACTCAATGTAATGTGTATAAAATATCTAAAAATATTGTTTTTCGTTAGCTTTAATGATTTAGTCCATGTGCATTTAGATAAAGCAAGAGAGTTAATTAATTAATTTTTATTTATAAGATAAACTTTGGTTGCTACTTTTGAACTTGAGATGAAGTATTATTTAAAAAAAAAAAAAAAAACGGCACCCTCTACTTCTACTTCTAAGCGTGCAAAACAACAGAGCCATTGCTCTTCGAGGCGGTGAGATGGACAATCCAATCGGTTCCTACAGCGCCATTCCATCCATCACTGCAATTTATTTGATTTGTTTCCTTGCAGTTATTATTACACAATGAAATATCATTTGGGACCTGAGACTACCATCCTTGCTAAGAGTGTGTAATTGTGTAATATCTTGTACCATCATAAATTGTATCATAATAGTTTCACATCTGAATGAGTGAGTTCACATCTCAAACAACTTTGCTAAATCTATTTATCCTCTAAATATACTTATATAAGCATTTATATGTTTATGATGAGAAAGTGAAAATGATGTATTGCATGCTTTGTACAAAAGAAATAAAAATAAACGTATTCTTAGTTTGAATTGTAAAATTTAAATTCTTTTATGTGATGCAAACCAGTTAATGATTTTGTAATTTGCAATGTCCATTATATTAAAGGTTGGGCATGATTTGATACAAGTATATGTGGTCATCTATTGGGTTTTTTTTTTTTTTTTTTGGTACCTTGATGAATATACCCAATCACTTAGTGGACTTACTTTTACTAGAGGTTGTGTCGAGATTCATGCTAATAAGGAAATTTCAAAATCCTTCATGCATAATTTGGGATATGGTGATCCTTATGAGGTTAAGAGGTAAAGAATTATAAGGGCAAAGATAGTGTGCATGCTTTTCCTAAAGATGAGAAGAATGAGCCAAAAGTCACCTTATCCTCAAATTATTTCAACTGCCGTGTGGTTAATATCATGTAATATGTGACATGTATATTGTATGAAAAAAGATACGAAACACAGACACATATCGCTGGTGAGTTGAATCGCTATCATATGATTTCATATTGTACTGTGATTCAACGTATACCAAACAATCAATTCATCTTTATCTTCTCCATCACTTTTGACCCTGTTAACAACTTTTTTTTCTTTATCAATCCCATGACCGACACTCACTGAACAACCATGAACTATGTTCTCCGAAAATCCCTTACAAAAGAGACCCAATTCCAAATGAACTCGCAAGAAAAAATGACTCTCATATTGTAGCATTTGAGTTTAGAACCAAGATTTGAGCCAAAAAGGCTTGTTTTGACCATGTCAATAAACTGTATAACAAGTATGTTTGGGACTACTTATATCTAGAAAAATAGTCTCAAATCATGAACCAAATGGACCTAAAATCAAAGCAGCCAGGCCCGACTGGAAAAAAGAAAGAAAGAAACTTATGACTCATCTTTCATATTTGAAATGAAATGTCATTTATCTTTTATTATTAAATTTTCAAAATTTTCCTAATTTCTTATGAGTTGGATAGTTGGGTTTTAAATGGATGTATATTTAGCTCTTTAACCAATTTGTAAGTTTCTTAGAGAGAATTTTCAAGTTGTTAGTCATATGATTTAGTACTTTATTCTTACAATATATTTATATATTATATGAAAATACTTTTTTTTATTATCTATATCCATATATGATTATGTATCTTAAAATACACAATACTGAAAAGTGATACAATGATACACAATATGTATTACGATTGGCAACACTGATTTCGAGGAGCTTGCCTTGTCTTATTCCAAGGATGGGTGTGATTCCAAGAGTGAACAAAGTACTAAGAATGAAGCAAACTGTCCATCCAAACAACCCAATGAGGATGGTTCAAGGGGTCTTACCGACAAAAACGATAGGGTTGCTTTAAGTTGTGGCTGAGTTCTCTCCTCCAAAAGAAGACAATGTTTCTTCAAGTAAAGTTGAAGCAACAGGGATTATGGAGATCACATCTTCCCCTAGGGATGCTATACATAGGAAGCTTAAGGAAAAGATCAGCAACCTAAAATTAGCTAGAGTATAAGCTATCGCAATCTCCGTTTAACCAAGGAAATCAAATCATGCCTAAAGCCTTCTACCAAATCTTAAAGTTCTAGGAAAAGCAAGGAGATTAGGGCTAATTCAAATATTCACTTATAGGTTGTGAATGTGTATACCTTTTTGCTGGAAATTTGTGTTAATGCATATAATAAGATAGTGGCATATGATAGTGGTGTTGGTGGTAGATAGTGGCATGTATATAATATGATAGTGGGGTTGGTGAAGGATAGTGGCATGTATAGAATATGATAGTGGTGTTGGTGGTAGATAGTGGCATGTATATAATATGATAGTGGTAGATAGTGGTAATATATAATATGTAAGTGGCATATAATGGGTTATAATGATGTTTGTAATATCTCCTATATAAGGAGTGTCATTTGGTCTTGTAAAATAAGAAGTTTTGAATATAACAGAAATATATTCCTTCTTCCTCATATTTGAATACAACAACCACCAAATCAATGTCTCCTCTCGGCAACTCTCTCTTCCGGAAAACACACACCAAACCCAGCTCTCTTCTCTCTCTAGATTTCTAAGCTTCTCTCTCTCTAAGACACACAACACACACACTCACATACCCACCCACGGGATTGACAGACCCAACACAACACACACTCACACACACACCCACGTGATTTTCTTTTCTCTATTTCTTTTAATTTTTTAATTCCTTCCCCTCTCCAATAAACTAATTCTCCCACCTATACTTTTTCTTTTTCATTACACTTCTGTTCCCCACTCCACTTTCTTTTTTTTTTCTTTTTATCTATTTATTTTACTCTATCTTTTGATAAGCAACCGACCACACACGTTTGAATCTCACATTTCTTTTTTCTTTTTATTTTTTTTTTATTCCTTTCACATTCACACATTTCTCTTCAATTTTCTTCACATATATTCTTAGGCCAAGTTTGGCATGACCTAAATAATACAAAAAGTCAAAAAGTCACTATCTTATTTAAGTCACATCATCTTATTTAAATCACATCAAGTCAAAAAGTCACTATCTTATTTAAGTCACATCATCTTATTTAAATCACATCATCTCTCTAACACATCACATCAAACCTAACCCAAACTCAACCCATATAAACCAATAAGTCAAAAAGTGCACTTCTTTAAAACATCCCAAACCAACCCTTATTATTTCTTTCTTTTTTTTCTTTCTCTTTCACTTTATTTTTCATCTTTTTTTTTCATTATTTTTTCTTTGCACAAAAAAAAAAAACAAAACAAAAAAAAAAAAACAAAAAAAGAGGAAGAAGATGAACTGAGAACACATCCAGGTCATGAATCTAATTTTTTCGATTCTTTATCATCGTTACCTTTATGTCTATGTTTATGTGTTTATGATAGAGTAACATTTACTCCAGTCAGTCTTCTCATTTCTACAATTTTGATGATATGCTAATACTGATTTGAAGTGGTTTAGGAAGTGGGTTGGTCTATAGTAAATTTGTTAGTGAACATTGTTTCTGATTCAAGGGTCTTCATATATTATTGTAGTATGCAATGTGCTGGTTTAAGTTTTTGGAAGTTTGGTATCTTTTTCTACAAAGTAAATTTTTTTTTTCAATGTGCATCCATCCATCCTTGAGTACTTATGTATTTAAATTTATTTCTATATGGTGTATTTTTAAGTCTTTAGCACGCTTATCTCTGCTCGCGCATCCTTATACATGCGTTGGAGCAGAGCCAGCTGGGAGTTTAACTGCTGCACCTCATTTGTCCTACTCTGCAGCCGGTGCGACAGATTTGTAACCGCCGTCATGGTTTCCACATATGACTTCAACGTATACTGATTGGCCTCCACATCCGACTGCACCGCCATTTTTTGCTCCACAGACCGCATTGGAAAGTTCAACGGAGCAAACTCCGGGGCACTTGGTTGAGGTTCCAATGCTACCGCACCAGTTTTCTCTCTTGTTGACTCGTTGAGGTCTGGAAAGAGAGTGAGCAGACTCCGGGACGACGAGGCCATTTTCTAGGCAACAGAGTATTACAGACTGTCTCTCGCAACAGAGTGTTACAGACTCTCTCTCTCAGTACAACGAAGAGTTTTTCAGAGAAATTCGCAGGTTTTTTTTTGTCTCAGCCTCAGCCTCAGCCTCAGCCTCAGGTTCAGTCTTGGTTATATAACCGAGGCAGCCACGCGCATCGCGCGCCTCTTGACGCTAGACAAACCGGGCACGCCAGCCAAGGCACTCACGTGTCTCGCCATCATATCTGGCACGCCTTTTGATGCATCGAGCACGCCTTTTGATGGCACGCCTTTTGACAGATTGGGCACACCTTTTGAGGGCACGACTTTTGAGGGCTCGATATCTACATCCATGTATATCTTTTGGGCAGCCTATATACACACTCATACAGTGTCTTCTACACTGGTCAGCTTTATCAATCCCTTTGTTTCAACCTCAAATAGGTTTCTATCTTCACACCTATTTGAGTTTGAGGGGGGGTTATACACAGTATCATGTATAAGTCGCTCATGGCGCACTCCCTAAGTCGCCCCCTTGGTGCACCACCACAACCTCTGCTACAACGGTCCGACATGACCCCATAAACTGTCTTCTACATCGGTCCGACATGACCCCGTAAACTGTCCTTCTACAACGGTCCGACATGACCCCATAAACTGTCTTCTACATCGGTCTGACACGACCACACAGTGTCTGCTCCAACGGTCCGACATGACCCCGTAAACTGCCTGCTACAACGGTCCGACATGACCCCATAAACTGTCTTCTACATCGGTCTGACACCGCCATCCAGTGTCCTCTACACCGTTATGACACCACCATACAGTGTCCTCTACAACGTTATGACACCACCATCCAGTGTCTTCACCAATGGTCTGACACGACCATACAGTGTCTCCTATCCTCTTTTATTTTTATGTATTTTCTTGTTTTGTTACTCTCCAAACTCAAGTTGGTTAGTTCCTATCCCCCTTGAGTTTGCGGGGGGCTGTTAAAATCCACCTACTACACACCTACCACTACCCACCTACTACACACTCACCTACTTCACCTACTCTCCACCTACTCCTCACCTACTACACACTCACCCTCTTCTATATATAGGAATCATGAATCATTGTAATAAACAACATACATCAATCAATAATACATCAGTTTTTCTTACATGACTCAACTGCTAGAAAAGATTAGATGCCTACTTATTTAGAAGTTAACACAATGCCTACGGTTATTGAAAAGTAGAACTATGTGCTGAAATTGCTTATTTAAGTGTTGAATTATCAATAGAAGCTTTAAAGCTGAAGTCAAGTCATTAAATGCTGAAACTCTGAAGAAGTTTAAACATGGTTTTGAAGGCCGGAAGAGTATGATAATAGCTTTATGTACATGCTTAGCTGAAATTGAAATATTTTCATGAGGTGTTATATCTTATTTTTCCTATTTGTTTTTGATTGGTAGTGTGTGCGGATTTGGTTCGTGGTGCCAAGGATAAGAGGCTGGGGGTGAAGGGACCTGTCAAGATGCCCACCAAGGTTCTTCACATCACTACCAGGAAGTCCCCTTGTGGTGAAGGTACTGAGTTTTAGAAATATTTTGATCTATTGCTTGATGTTATTATAGTGGTAGGTAGTTTTGATTAAAAGAGCATACAACTGCACTTGTAACATTTTCCATTGGATTGTGAATTTGTTTCTATGTTTAACCGTTCAATGAGGTTTCCATGTATTTATGTCCTGACTGGTTGGTTTTTTTAGTAGTTTATCCTAATGTTTTTGTGCATTGGTCAAATGTGCTTGCTTAATATATCATAATAAACTTTCATGTGGTGCAAACCTTTTGCACTATGACTTGTGGAAGGACTCGTGCAATGTATTACCTGTTTAGTCTAATCTGGTTTTAAAATTACTCAACTGCACCCAAATAGCAACTCTTCAAGTCTTGCTAGTAGATTATGTTGACAGCACATTACCTTTATGACTGTTGTGTTCATGTGACACAATTTGAACGTCTTACTGAAGTAACAATGCCCAAATGCTTCCCTAGTCCATGTAAGAATTGGTTTTTAATGTTGGTTAATTAATTTGAATCTTTTAAATGGAGTCATAGAACTTTTTACAAGATTGTATGAAGTTTCTTTGTTTGACATGGCATATTTTTCAGTGGTGCTTTCTACCTGTTGGCTGCTTTCCAATAGCGATTATTATGTGTGCGAATTTTAAAATTTGAAAAATACGTTCAAACTACTAGGGGCTGCTGTGGATAGTTCATTGTAGGATGTAATTAAAGTTTCTTTGGATAGTTCATGTTATACCAATAGTTCAATTGGCAGAGGAACTTCTTATTGGTGACAATCCGTTGCGTGAAATTGATGGAGTTCCAATTGGGCCCAAATATTGCAAAATCTGTCTTAAAGGTGAAAAAGCCGAATGCTCCTTTGGAAACACCATCCCGAGGTCTAAGAACAGTTGGAGAATCTGTTGGAAGATACATTGTGTGGCGCTTCATTCATGTATATGTTAAAATCTTATTTATTTATTTTTTGAAATAAATATCAAATATTTTATATTTTTTGTAAGCTTGAAATTAATTATATTGTAAATAATTTTTTTTGTTTGTTTCTTTTTGCAGATGCTATCTTTTTTAGTACATGATGATATATTCGCATATTGATATTGGAGCTTACTGTTGATACTAAAACAAGCTATAACATATATGTTCTTTTATTTGTATTGTCGATACTTTTGTTTTGTTTTAGATACAAATTCAAGTTCTTAAATTATTAAAAATTATTAGTATTAGTGGAGGATGTTTTATATATTTTTGTAAAGAATGTTTGGTTGACACTGTATTGTTATAGGGTACATATATATTATTACTTGTATATATGATTTTGTGAATGTGATTGTGAATGTGGACATTTGTGGATGTGGGTGTATTTTATTTTAGAAAATATTAATAATCTGCACAAGGAACGAATTAATAAAATATTTATTATTTTATGAAAATATTTTTTTTGCGACAGTAATAAACTGTTGCTATGTAATCATCATTTTCTTACGTTTTATTAGTAACGGATTAACCTGTCGCATATACATATTAGTGTCATCTTTAGCGATGGTTTAAACTATTGCAAGCACATTATTGATTCAATTCTTTTGTTTTTGCGGCGTTTAAAACCGTCGCTAATAATACTTTTCGCAACGTCAACTATTGTCTCTAAAAAAAATTTTGCTGACAGCATCCTTAACCGTTGCTAAAAGTGATGCTTTTCTTGCTTTTTTATGTCATGTTAAACCGTCGCAAAAACTATTGATTTACCGTCGCTACCAAAAGCAACGGTTTGTAACTATTGCAAATATATTTTGTCACGCTCTTTTCCGCCACCCTTCATTTTCCATCGCTACTCTGTCGCAAAAGTTTTTTGCGACATGTGGACCTTTTGTGACGTTTGAGACTGTCGCAAAATGTCCGATTTGTAATAGTGATTGAGCCCCATGATCACAATGACTCATAATACCTACCACTTAACTCATAACCGGAAAACACAAAAAATTATAATTGGACATATGATATACCCCCAAAAGAGTATTTATTATAAAAATTTCCAATTGTTAATATGCTTGAAACAAATTGACATTCTCTTATAAAATAGATTGGTCGAGGAATGTAAAATTTGTAATGTTTTTGTTAATTAATGTTTTTAGAAAACTCATCCACAAGATAAATACTATACAAACTATCAAAATTAGTGAAAAAAAAAAAGTTTACTCACAAGTATAACATATAATCATGAAATTTCAATACTCTATGATTATTCAAATGAATATTGATATATACAACTTTATCTTGTTCATATAATAAATTTGCTCATTAGCATGGTTTTAAATATGAGTCGAAATGTATTGTATTGGTCGACACATTGAATTTTGGCTCTTTTGATGTTCATACATTGCAATAAATAGGTGGAAAAAAATCACATGCTTATTGGCCAATTCTCAACACATCAATATCGGTTCACAAGCAATACAGTTGCACAATTCTTTTTAGCAACTAATGTCTTTTAAAAATTCACAATTACATCAGTTGATTTTTTATATGTATCGCTCAATACTTCAAAATATCACTACACCACAACTAATATCAATTCATCTCTGTTATTTAAATCCTTGCTCATTAGGATTAGTTATTTGGAGCAATCGATATACTTTGGAGCAGTTGTAAAAACTCAAATTTATTGACATAATCCAGTGCATCGATTTGATTGTAAATGAAATGACATAGCCACTAACCTTGCTCAATCCTCAAATCAGGGTGAAAACAAACACTTCCACAAAAGCAGTCGCCACCCACAATTACATAATACAATCTGTTGGGCGAACAAGGAGGGTTCAGCATAGTTCGATCTAACTTGGTCTGGGAAAAAAATTAAAGATCTAACTATTATTTATGGTTTTATAAAATTTTAAACTAAATTTAATCATAAAATCCGTGGAACTAAACTGAATTGAACCAGGTTAAGTTAGATTTGGAACTACAATTTCTGGAAACCCGCTTCCATTCACAACACACTCACAAAATATTACTCACAATTTACCAAAAAATCAAGCATTATATCATCAACCTTCAAAATCAAGCATTATATCATCATCCTTCAAATAAAAATTCTTGAGATGATTGTTTAAAACTAATTCTATTACTACACACTCACATCTACTTTCTTCAATTTAAATACTTGAATAATTTCGAAATTAAAGTTGCACAAAGTTTTTTATAATTAAAAGTATTTGTTATTGACCTACGGTCTACACTTTGGTAACCTAGGAGAGAAAAGAAAATATTATGATTAATCTTCCTTTTGTTTGGGTAAATAGATGAAAAAGTAAAAGAAAATATATTGATTTCTCTCATATTTTATTTGGTTAAACTATATAAAAGAAAATAAAAAAGAAAAAGAAAAAGAAATGTTATCATGTTATATTACCAAATTAATCAAGGTGTTAGTTTTTATTTATTTATTATATATCTAAAAGGGTAGTTTTAGTATTATAGCAAAATAATATTTATTTGGTTTTTTTCCACCCCCAATCTTTCCACTTTTGGAGACATTTAAAATAGGACTATGAGATTAATGAATTTCTCTAAATTTCTTTTCATTTCACTCTATTTCTCTTTTTTGGCATATCCAAACGAGTAATATAAATTAAGAGAAATGCAATTCTTTTATTTTCTTTCCAAATCGCTCAGTGTAAACCGGCTGTTAGAGAGATTTTGAAGATTGTAATGAGATAAGGGAGTAACAAAATATGAGAGATGTAAGGGTTAACAATTTATGCACATATACAGGGTATTAATAAAGTATTTGAATGTTTATGATAAATAGCAAATTACACGTATGTTTAGACAGCGTGATTCAGTTTTAAATTGAAATTATAACTATAAAATGATAAGGCGAAACATGATATAAAATTCACCCATTCTAAAAATTAAGACCAAACTGTGCATTGAGAATAGCAATCATATCATATCATTTAATATGGATGAGGTTGGTCAGTAGGATCTGGTAGTCAACATATGACCAAAAACTAACTTATGCCCCAACATTCCTGGGAATGACATGCAAAGATATGAAATGGACTAGTAAGACATATCCAATAAATAAACAAAAACTAGCAAAGAATTTATATCGATACGCAGTATTTATTTATTTATTATTATTATTATTTGGATTTGGTAAAGAGAATTATATTGACAAAAAAACCTATGAGTAAAAAGATGGATACGTCATAGATAAATCAATACTAAATTGTTGGCTTTTTGGCTTTTGAAGATTATTTTTGTAATTGTGAGTGTGCCAGCAAGGATCAATTAGTCCTTACAGAGAATTAATTGCCAACCAATTATCAGACGATTGTGTTTTAGTTCTTTCAGCCTCAATGAAGAAGACTTTTACTGGTGGCTTGATTTAGGAGAATTAAACAAGATAACAATTAAATGAAGAACAATTGAAGCATCTCATTAAAATGAAAAACTTACAATGATCCAAACTCAGCCTCGTAGAGGTTTACAGCGACAATCTACTACCTGAAACTATTCCTATGAACAAAGTGCAGTGCAGGAATTTAAAGTACATGAATGTAAAGAACAGGAAATATAAGGCTGGAAATGTAAAACTGGAACGGAAAATAAGTAGAATAAGACTGGTTTTTTTGATCTGAGTCTGGGGGCTTTTTCTGGGGCCTTCTCTGCTATTTATACTGCTCAAGGATGACCATCGAACTGCATTTTTAACCGTCGAACTGCTCGTCCATGATCGCTGATCATGTTGCCTCAAGATTAGCTCCATTACGCCATTACTTGCAGTTAGGCTTCCCTCCTAAATTTGAATTTGAAATGTAATTAACTATTGAAGCCACATCACCTTGCATCTCTTTGTTGATCCACTACTACTCAGATCTCGTAATAACCAATACTAACTGCCACGTGTACGATCAAGATCGAAGACTTGAATAGTCTTCCTATATTATTCTTATTTTGCCATGCGTCGAATTGTAATTGGCTTGTACAAAATATGTAGCCAACATTACCCCCCGCACTAATATACCCAATACTTGGTGATATTAGTGAATCAAGGTCTTTTTCCCACGTCTTAGAACGTGCATGGGTTTTGCATTCTCCCAGAAATGCAACTGTCATTCATCATCTGCATTAAACTCTCCTTCAATCTTTTGAACACCCCCATTACCTTAGTATTTGAATAGACTGATACATTTTTTATGGCCGAATCAATTTTCCCTTCCATTGATCAAGCACACGAAGAGTTATATGATGATGTTGTTCTTCCTCGAAAGAACCTTTATGCATTAATTAGCACCTTTACACACCTTTCTATATTCAGGTCATGGATGCCTTTGCAAATTATCAACCCTTCGACTTCGAACATATTGCCCTTAATCTTTCGATTCAGAAACTTACAAATATGGACATGGGAAGTATTTCTTCTGACTCACCCTTGGACTACGAACAAACTGCTCTCAATCCTTTGATTCAGAAAGTCGCAAATATGGACATGGGAAGTTCTTCTTCACAACCCTCTGCATGGGATAAGGCTGCAACTTCTTCCTCTTCTGGGGCTTTTGACTAGACAAGCTAGTCAAAACCTGAGGCCTGTGATTCGAGGGAACGAATCAACCATCACTTTGTTGAGTTTACTGACCCTTTAGAGTTCCCTTCTTATGTGCGAAGCTCGGTGGTCTATCCCTACGTACCCATTGATCATCGACGCAGTTTGGAGGAGAATCTGCTTGTGGCATGGTATACATCCTCCATGCCTACAAAGATAATGCACACCGCCCGACGCCTAGAAGAGGCACAAGGGTACAATCCATCATTCTTAGCCCAGAAGGCGAAGATTTGTTCTTCTGACTGGCTCGATTATATTAATGCCCTTGTTCCTTCTGCCCTTGCTCCATCTCCTAGAATAGAAGCATCCACACCTTCCCTTCCGCCAAATCCTCGCTGGACAGAGAGACTGAAGCTTGCCCTCTCCGCAGATAAGATCTTTCCACCTTACAAGCCTCCACCTTCCCCTAATCCAGCTGAGCGGAAGCAAGCTCAACTTCTGCTCGCGGCTTTCTCTCACTTTCCCTTCAATGTTCTTGAGGACGAAGTTCCTCTCAAGAACCTTCGATAGGCTTGTGATATTCTGACTCGGGGTCATGTCCTCAATCCCCTCGCCCAAGCAGAGCTTCACATGTTTTTGGACCAACTTCCATTGCTTCTCCACTGGCATCGGACCTCCATGGCCACTACACAATCTTTAGACCAACTCTCGTCCCTTCAAGTTCATGCCCAGTACGAAGCAGAGAACTTCATTGAAGAATT